CCTTACCCCTGAGTGCCCTCCACCCCTGGATGTGCCTCCTTATCCCTGCGCGCCCCCCTACTCCTGCGCATCCCCCTCACCCCTGCGCGCCCCCCTACTCCTGCGCATCCCCCTCACTCCTGCGCACCCCCTCTCACCTCTGTGCAGGCTCTTGAGCGTCTCGTAGGTGAAGAAGCTGAGCCCGGCGTAGGGGATGACGCCCAGCAGGGTGGGCGTGAAGCCGTGGTAGAGGGTCTTCAGCCCCTCCTCCCGCGAGATGCGGATGAACACGTGGAAGATGTTGCTGTACCTGGGTGGGGGGGCTCAGCTCGGGCGCGCCCCGCTGGGTGGGGGAGGGGGCGGCTGGGTGGGGGAGGGCCCCAGGGCGCCCCCCCCGCTGGGTGGGGGTCCGCGGCCCTTCTTTTAAGACCAGAACCCCATGGCCCTGCTCTGGGCCCTCTCTTGTGACCGCCCTGGACACATTCCCGCACGTGTCTGTTTTGGGGTGCGGGGCCCCGGGCTTGCCCACCCCCGGGCGGAGGGCACGCGCCCCGCAGGATGTCGCCCAGCCCCCAGCCGCAGGCCCGGCCGGCCCGGCGGCAGGACTCACATCTCCTTCGGGGTCACGGCCATCCGGGCCCGCACCAGGTCCAGCGGGTAGGTGAGGGAGGCGGCAGTGGTGCCGGCCAGCGCGCCGGCCAGGAGGCGGGGCCCCGGGGGCAGCGCCCTGCGGGCGGACAGGGAGACAGGCGGGCTCAGCCCGGCCCGGTGGCCGGTGGGTGTCCAGGCCCTTCCCTCTGTGCCCTGAGGTGTGTGGGCCGGGAGCTCGGGGGCGCAGCGGCCGGCACCCCGCCAGCCGGGCTCTGGTGGAGGGCGCCGGGCGCGAGGCCGACCCGGGGAAAAGGACGGTGGGAAGACAAACCGGACAAGGGGGTCAGAGACACAGCCGGGAGGGGCGGGGCCGAGACCCAGAAGCCGGGGTCTGGGCGGGGCCAGATTTAGAGGGCGGGGCCTTAGAGGGGCGGGGCCCTGCGTCCAGGGCCTGGTCAGTGTTTGGGGGCACGGCTGGGGAATCTGTTTAGAGGTCGGGGTCAGCATTTGGGGCGGGGCATGTGACTAGAGGGCGTGGCCTGCGCTTGGGCCTCCTGCTTAGAGATAGGGATCTGAATTTGGAGCAGAGCTTATGCTTAGAGAGCTTGGAGGTCGCAGCCGGTCTGTTAATGTTAGGGGAGAGGCCTGTGGGCGTGCTCGCCTTTGTGGGCGTAGCCTTGCGTCAGGGGGCGTGGCTGGTGTTCAGGGCCTGATGGTTTGAGGGCGGGGCATTTTAACGGGGGCGGAGCCTTGTTCAGGACATGGTCAATTGAGGGCGGGGTCTGTCAGGGAAGGGGCCAATGTATCAGGGGCGGGGTGTGTTCAGGGCATAGTCAATTGGGGGTGGGGTCCTGTGTCAGGGGGCGGGGTGTGTTCAGGGCGTGGTCAATCCTGGAGCAGGGCCTGTGTCAGTAGCTGGGCCTGGGCTGGGCCTCAGGGGGCATGGCCGATGTTGAAGACTTGGATAGTTTGAGGGCGGGGCACTTTATTAGGGGCAGGGCCTGGGCGGGGCCTATGTGTCAGGGGGCGTGGCTAGCGTTCAGGGCCTGGATAGGTCGAGGGCGTGGCACTTTCGTAGGGGAGGGGCCTGTGCCAGGGGCGGGGCCTTGCTGGGCCTATGTGTCAGGGGGCGTGGCCGGTGTTGAAGACTTGGATAGTTTGAGGGCGGGGCACTTTAGTAGGGGCAGGGCCTGGGCGGGGCCTATGTATCAGGGGGCAGGGCCGGCGTTCAGGGCCTGGGTAGGTCGAGGGCGGGGCCTGGCGCTGTGTGGGCGTGGCCAGCGCTCGGGGCGGGGCTCCGCGGGACTCACTCTCCCCGGAAGCCGTAGTAGCGGCCCAGGACGCGCTTGTACTCCTCGTGCGCGCTGAACTGGATGGCGGCGTAGGGCACCACGCGGACCATGGTGGCCGAGTTCCCGCGCCACAGGCTGAGGAAGCCCTCGTTGAGGTAGGTGAAGTAGAGGAGCCGGAAGGCCTCCTGCGGGAGCAGGGGTCAGCGCGGTGGGCCCAGGCCGGCCGGCGGGTGGCTGCCCCCGGGGCGCCCCGCGGCCCGGCTCCGGGCGCTGCCAAGCCTGGGGCGCCCCCGAAGTCGCCCACTGCTTCTCCACTCCCGTCGGGGTGGGCAGGGCAGGGCCTGGTCCCCGGAGGACGAAGCCCTCGCGCAGCCCGGGAGCTCACCTTGGCAGAAAACTTTTTAGAAGACACTGGAAAAAAAAACAAACAAGAGACCCTGAGAGGCCGGGGCGGCCCGACCGGACCGGAGCTGGGCCCGCGCCCCGCCGGCCCGCCGCGCTGCCAGGCGTCCGGGAGACCCCGGGGCCCGCGGGCCTCCTGCAGCCCGCGCCCGTGAGCGCAGCGCCGGCTCGAGGCGGAGGCCGGCGGGGGGATCGGGGCGCAGCCTGTGGCCGGGCAGCTCCGGAGGACAGGGGTCTGTCTGGGGAGCGCTGTGTCCCCAGGAGGTACGTCCACGTCCTCAGGCCGGCCCAGGGAAGGGGGCCGTGTGTGGGAATGGGGTTTTGCATGGGGGGGGGTTAACAAGGCAAACAGGACAGGGGTGGGAGGACTGAGGCCTCCAGGACCGGCCCACCCTCTCAGTGCCGCCAGCCCCGACAGTGCTGTGTGCACCCGGGAGAGCCTCAGGAAGCCACTCCAGCTTTTAAGTGGGTTTCAAAGAATGTGTGCGTGTGTGTGCATGCGTGTGTGTGTGTAAGTACATACGTGTGTACCTAGGCTAGGCTGCCCTTGAACTCTGGGGCCTCCAGTCCCCAAGTGCCACTACATCACACCGACACCAGGCCTGGATTCAAGAGTGTGCGTGTATGGGTGTGGGTGTGCACCTGCGCATGTGCGTGCACACACGCACACACACACACACACACATGTTGTTGCTGGGACTCCAGCTCAGGTCTTGGGCTCTGTCTGTGAGCTATTTTGTTCAAGGCTAGTGTTCTACCACGACAGCCCAGTTCTACCTCCAGCTTTTTGCTGGTTCATTTGAGATGAGTCTAATGGAGGGCTGAGAAGGTGGCTCAGTGGTAGAACACTCGCCTCCCATACATGGGGCCCTGGGTTCAATTCCTCAGCACCACATAAGCAGAAAACCCAGAAGTGGTGCTGTAGCTCAAGTGGTAGAGCGCTAGCCTTGAGCTGAAGAGCTGAGGGACAGCACCCAGGCCTAGAGTTCAAGGCCCAAGACTGACAAAAACAAAACAAAAAAAAAAGAGTCTAATGGGCATTCCTGGCCAGGCTGGCTTCAAACCACAATCCTCAGACTCAGCCCAGTCCCGGGGCTTGAACTCAGGGCTGGGTGCTGTCTCTGGGCTGTGTGCTCAAGGCCAGCGCTCTACCCCTTGAGCCACAGCGCCACTTTGTGTGTGTGCTGGGAAGCACTGCGCACTGCACAGAGCGGCCTTCCCTCCCACCATGGCCAGGCGCGGTTGGGGTGAGTCAGCTTTCACCCGTGCAGGTGGGGAGGCGGGGTACTGTCTGGCGGGCAGCGGCAGGGGACGGTGGGGGGACGCGTACCTTGGAAGATGATTTTGGTTCGGTCCAGGGGAGCTACCGCGGTCTTGGCGAGTGCTCCAGCCAGGGCCCCCGACAGCAGGGAGCTGAGCACTTGCCGGGGGTCTCTCTGTAACAGAGCACAGACCGGGTCATGGGGCGAAGGCAAAGGCACGTCCTGTGTCCTCCCGCGGTGCAGGGGGCAGAGGCCCTGCAGCCTGGGCAGAGAGACCCCACTACGCAGGGCGGTGAGAGTCGGGGCGAGGGCGGCGTCCAAGGCCTGACCTCGTTCCTACAACTGGACGCCTGCCCCGTGCGCCTGATGCAGCTCTGGGACAAATGTGCACTGCCCTGCCCAGCCCCATGCTTTTTTTTTTTTTGGTCAGTCCTGGGGCTTGAACTCAGGGCCTGGGCGCCGTCCCTGAGCTTCTTTTGCTCAAGGCTAGCACTCTACCACTTGAGCCACAGTGCCCCTTCTGGCTTTTTCTGTGTATGTGGTTCAGAGGAATGGAACCCAGGGCTTCATGCGTGCTGGGCGAGCGCTCTACCACTGAGCCGCCTTCCCAGCCTAGTGCTTAGCTTCTTGCCAGGAGAAAACGTGACTTGGCAGCGTGGCCCCCGCTGCGCTCCGTGCGGGTCTGCCCTGCAGCTCTGTGGCTGGGAGGCCGCTCAGCCACCCCCTGCCTGGGGCCCGCGGGGGCCTCGGCTGGCACCCTGCGCCGGCCGTGTGGCGCTGGCTGGGGGAAAGGGCAGTGGACTTTGAGAGCAGGCGCTGGCCACGCCCTGGAGGGAGGGCTGCCCGCCTCCCTTTGCTGCATCATGTTTTATTTGCTTTTGACAGGGTCTGTGGCAAGGCCCGGGCTGTCTGGTGTCTGCAAGGTGGAGGCTGGGCCTCAGGCCTTGGGCCTCTACCCCCCACCCCAGTGTTTGGCTGGCTTCACCCATGTGGTAACCCACATCACCAGCAGGACTTTTATTCTGGTGCTAGGATTTGAACTCAGAACTTCACCCTTGCTAAGGGAGCTCTACCACATGAGCCATGCGTGCTGCCAGCCCTGTTTTGCCTCCGTTGTTTTACAGAGAGGGTCTTGTGGTCTGGCCCAGGGCAGCTTCAGACTGTAATCTTCCCTTGTGGGAAGCATGGCTGGGACTGTAGGTGGAGGTGCCATTGTGCTTCTTACTGGTTGAGATGGCTGGGCCTTGAACTTTTTTTCTGTGGCCCGAGACCGGGACTCGAACTCCATATCTGACATTTTGACTGGCTGGCTGGTGCTCCACCACCTGAGCCACGCCTCCAACCCTGGAACCATCACCGGTTCTCCAGGTCCCCAGTCCCTGGCTGATAGGGCCCGGCCTTGGGAGGATGGAGGAGGGGCCGGCCGCTTCCTCGGGTGCCGCGTGGCCCTGGCTTGCTCTCAGGCAGTGGAGGAGGGGTGCGGGGGGTGGGGAGGCTACTTGCCTTGGAGGAGACGGGCGCGGGCCGGGCCGCTTCAGCATCCTCAGGCGGGCGCACTGAGCCCTCCTTCACGCCACTACCCATCCCAGGCCTGCTCGGTTGGCCGGAGACTCGGTCCTGGGGGACACGGGGTTGATGAGTGGAGGCGGGGCCTGGCGCCCCCAGGCCCCCAGTGCCGCCCCACGCACCCCCCCCCCCGGGACAGAGCCTCCCTCGTCCCTTATTTTCGTGTGCATCACCAGGGCTGGGATGAGGACCTCGCGCTTGCTGAGCAGGCGCTCTGCCACTGAATCATGTCGCCTGGACTGTTTACTTTTGTGTATGGTGGGGCTTGAACTCAGGGCCTGGGTGCTATCCCTGAGCCGTTTGGCTTAAAGCTAGCACTCGGCAACTTTGAGCTGCAGCTCCATTTCCGGTTTTTAGGTGGCTAATTGGAGATAGGAGTCTCCGGACTTTCCGGAGGAGCTGGGGTGACAGGCGTGAGCCACTGGCTCCCGGACAGACCTTCATTGTTGAGATAGGGTCTCACTTTTTGCCCAGGCCAACCAGTGCTTCATTCCTCTGCTTACACTTCCCACAAGCTAGGATTACACGCATGGACCCCTGCACCCAGCCCAGTGCCTTGCTTGACAAGGGAAACATGACCGGCAGCATGGTCCCGCGGGGAGGCCCGCGCAGCTGGCCGGGCGGGCACTGCACCCAGGCCCAGGCCTCCTCGCCAGGGCGCAGGGAATCCCCGTGGGACACAGGGCGGGACAGGCCACGATCGGTGGCACTGTGTCCACTGTAATTGTGCTAATCAGGAGCCGTGGCCAGCCTCTGCCCGAGATAAAAGCTGTTCAATTCGCTACTTGGCAGAAATTAACTTGGGCCGAAGAACCAGGTGTTCACCCTGACGGATGGGTGGCCTCTGTGAAGGCAGGCAGGCAGGCAGGCAGGCAGGCAGACAGACAGACGGACAGGCAGGCAGGCAGGCAGGCGGATGGGCGGGCGGGTGGGCAGGAATTCTACCTGTGTATTCCGTTCCCTTTCTGTGCCAGTCCTAAAGCTTGAACTCAGGGCCTGGCACTGTCTCTGCGCATTTTCACTCAAGGCCGGTGCTCTACCACTTGAACCACAGCTCTACTTCCCTTGGAGATAAGAGTCCCCAGCCTTTCCCACCCAGGCTGGCTTCAAACCGTGATCCTCAGCTCTCAGCCTCCGGAGTAGCTGGGCTTGCAGGCGTGCAGACTAGCGCCCGGCCCCCCTCTTCCCCTCTGTGGTGTCTTTCTGACCAGCCTGGGGTCGGCCTGCGGCGGTCTCTGAGGGCAGATGCAGGCAGCTGGGCTCCTGGGGGCTGGGGAGCAGCCCCCCCGCTGGGTGTCCAGCCCTCGCCCCAAAGCCTGTTCTTGCTCTGGGCCAAGGTGCTGTGTACCTCGGCACATGTCACCAGTTACTTGCCAGGTGGACAGGCAAACTCCCCTAACATGCCAACTTCTGCTTCCTTTGTACTCTCATGCTGGCAAACTCCTCCACATCCTTCAAAGCCCTTCCCCAAAGCTGCAGCTTCACCTGTCCCAAGGTTAGCTTCAATGACAGGCCTCAACCCCCACCTCCCGCACACACTGATCCCCAGACACCTGTCCCTGCACAAGGCCCCTTTCCAGCCACCTGCCTCCCTCCCCAATGGAAGCATGCCAGGCCTCAGGGAGGCTGGGCTGTCACCAAGCCTCTCTCTCCCTCAGATTCCCATCTGTCACTGCCTTCCTGGGCTGGGATTTGCCAGCAATGGGTGCTGTGGAGCTCAGGCCGGGAGGCTCATGACTGCAACACCAGCTCCTCGGGAGGCTGAGGCCTGGAGGATTGAGGTTGAAACCCGGCAGGTCAGCCTGAGTCTCCATCTCTAACGAGCCTGCTAAAGCCGGGCGCTGGTGGCTCACGCCTGTAATCCCAGCTACTCAGGAGGCTGAGATCTGAGGATTGCGGTTCAAAGCCAGCCCAGGCAGGAGAGACCGTGAGACTCCTATCTCCAATAAACCACCAGAAAACCGGAAGTGGCGCTGTAGCTCAAGTGGTAGAGCACTCGCCTTGAGCTGAAGAGCTGAGGGACAGCGCCCAGGCCCAGAGTTCAAGCCCCATGAACGACAAAAAAGAAAAAGAAAAGGCCTGCTAAAGGCGTGCTCAAACCAAACCCTGCTCCAAACCAAAACACAAGTCCCCCCCACCCCGCTCAGGCGGGGGTCACGGCCCTTCTGCCCAAGGACCTGCTCCTGCACCCGCGGCGCCTGCAAGCATGGCCAGGGCTGGGTCTTCCAGGCCTCCTCTGGCTTGCGGGCTGCCACCACGCAGGCCCTCGTGTCCGCATCCCCCTCCGCTGATTGGACTCTGGCCACCCTGGGACATCCGAGCGCCTTGGCCGGTGCGGGAGCCCAGCCCCGTCCTGGACCCCAGGGAGGTTGGAAAACCAGGCACCATCACAGACGACGATTGCACCAATACAGTGTAATAAAGGCAAGCACAGAGGCCTCCCTCCCGCCTCCCTCTCCTCCTCTCCCCCTGGCCAGGACTCCCTCCGCCGAGCCCTGGCGTCTGAGCACGGGCCACAAAAGGTGCCTGGGGAGGAAGAACATGTCCACAGCACTTTTTAAAAATAGACAGTGACAGGAGGAGGTCAGCCTGGGGACAGGGCTGGCTTTTAAAAGTTAAGTTTCTAATGGAGTCTCGCTGCCTGGGCTGGCCCAGACCACAGTTCTCTTATTTACATGTCTCTCGTACCTGAGATGACAGGCATGCGCTACCGCACCCAGCTTCTCATTGGTTGAGATGGGGTCTCTCACATTTTCCCCCAGGTTGGCCTGGAACTATGATCTTCCAGGTTTCTGGCCCCCTGATAGTTTAGGATTACATGCATAAGCCATTAGCTCCTGGTGTGCTCTAACTTTTTTTTTTTTTTTTTTTTGTTAATGTGTGTGCCAGTTCTGGGGCTTGAACTTGAGTCACAGCTCCATTTCTGGCTTTTTGGTGATTTAATTGGAGATAAAAGTCTCACAGACTTTCCTGCCCGGGCTGGGCTGGCTTTGAACCACAATCTTCAGATCTCAGCCTCCTGAGTAGCTAGGATGATAGGCGTGAGTCACTGGCGCCCGGCCTAAGAGGACATTTCTTTCTTTTTTTTTGTCGGTCATGGGGCTCGAACTCTGGGCCTGGGCACTGTCCCTCAGCTCTTCAGCTTAAGGCGAGCGCTCTACCACTTGAGCTACAGCGCCACTTCCGGTTTTCTGGGGTTTATTGGAGATAGGAGTCTCACGGTCTCTCCTGCCTTGGCTGGCTTTGAACCGCGATCCTCAGATCTCAGTCTCCTGAGTAGCTAGGATGACAGGCGTGAGTCACTGGCGCCAGGCCTAAGAGGACATTTCTTCTTTGACACGGTCACCCCTTCCCTTGCTCTCTCCCAGTTTTTCCCTCCCATTCCCACCCGCAGGTTGTAGGGTTCATTCTCAACATAGTTATTTACTCTTATGCTTTTCTTTTCTCATGCTATAAACATATATTAAAAATTAGCCCAGCCGGCTCCCTGGCCAGGCTTCAAGACTCTGTGCCTGCCTGCCAGCTCCACTGTAATTTAATCAAACTCTCCCGCACGAGCACGCGCACGCGCACGCACACACACACTCTCTCTCTCTCCTGGGCACTGGTAGCTCACACTCGTAATCCTAGCTACTCAAGAGGCTAAAATCTGAGGATAGAGGTTCAAAGCCAACCTAGACATGGAAGTCCATGAGACTCTTCATCTCCAATTAACCAGCAAGATGCTGGAAGTAGAGCTGTGGCTCACGTGATAAGACAAAGGTATTGAGACCCTGAGTTCAAGTCCCAGTACTGGCACAGACTCTCTCTCTCTCCTTCCCTCCCTGTCTGTCTCTCGCATGCCTGGCAGGCAAGCAGTTACAACTGCACAAAACCCAGCCCCAGCAGTGGCCTCAGAGGTGTGGGGTGTGAGTCTACCTCTACCTCCAGCCCCAGCCACCTGGGGAAGCTGAGGCAGGAGGAAGATCTTATGGGTTTGAAGCCAACCAGGACAAAGGTATGTCAAAAACAAAATAGGAACAAAATGCACTGCAGGTGTGGCTCGAGTGGCAGAGGACTTACCTGCCCTGGGTCCAAGCTCCAGTAAAATAAATGAATAACTAAATAGACACACCATAGACTACTTTGGAAAGGAAATAAAGGAATGATGAAGAACCGGGCACTGGTGGCTCACACCTGTAATTCTAGCTACTCAGGAGGCTAAGGCAGAAAAATTCCTGTGAGACTTTTTTTTTTGTATGTGTGTGTGTTGGGCGGGGAGGGGGTCATGGGGCCTGAACTCTGGGCCTGGGCGCTGTCCCTCAGCTCTTCAGCTCAAGACAAGCGCTCTACCACTTGAGCCACAGCGCCACTTCCAGTTTTCTGGTGGTTCACTGGAGATAAGAGTCTCACAGACTTTCTTGGCTGGGCTGGCTTTGAACTGCGATCCTCAGATCTCAGCCTCCTGAGTAGCTAGGATGACAGGCGTGAGCCACTGGTGCCCAGTCCTGTGAGACTCTTGTCTCCAATAAACTACTCAGAAAAGCCAGAAGTGGCACTGTGGCTCAAGTGGTAGAGCACTAGCCTTGAGCACAAAGCGGCTCAGGGACAATGCCCAGGCCCTGAGTTCAAGCTCCAGGACTGGAAAAAAATTATGACCAGTGGGCAAATCCACAGAGAAGGTAGACAGAAACTGTGTAAATAGTAAACTTGTAAACTGCGTATGAATCAACAACATATAGACTAGATATATATGCTACCCCCACATATCCTACACACACACACGAACACGTGTGCACAGTGCATACCTATATGCATCTACACACAAACATGCCCAAACCCACATGTTCTTCTAATTATTATTCTTACTGTCTTCTCTGGCTCCAGAACTGGGGCGTGAACTCAGGGCCCATGCACTGACCCTAAGCTTTTTCGCTCGAGGCTCGTGCCCTACTACATATCTCATGGGGGGGAGGGGGTGGGGGCTGGGAAGGTGGCTCAGTGGTAGAGCGCTTGCCTGGCATGCATGAGGCCCTGGGTTCGATTCCTCCGCACCATATAAGCAGAAAAGGCCAGAAGTGGCGCTGTGGTTCAAGTGGTAGAGCGCTAGCCTTGAGCCAAAGAGCTGAGAGACAGCGCCCAGGCCCAGAGTTCAGGCCTCAGGACTGGCAGGGGATAACAAAGAGTTTCATGGGCTTTCCTGCCTAAGTTGGCTTTGAACCCTCCATCCTCAGATCTCAGACTCTGAGTAACTGGGATTACAGGTGTGAGCCACCAGAGCCTAGTTGGTTTTTCAGGGCTGGAAGTAGTAGCCAAGTGCTCTGCCCCGAGCCACACCCCAACTCCAGCCTATATGTTTTAGATGATCACCTTTAGTCAGTGATGGGAAACCCCAGTGGCTTCAGTTTCCACAGGAGAAGCTGAAGGTGACACGACCCTGAAGAACCTTCTAGCACCGTCCCGTGGCAGAGGGAGCCAGGCTGCTCTTTGCAAGCTTTGCAGGAAATGCAGAACACGGCTTTTCAACAATAAAGCCACAGGCCTCCTTCCAGCAGGCACACACGCACGCACGCACGCACGTACACACACAGATCACACACCAGGGAACTTCACAAGTTCCAGGAGTCACCAAGCCCAGCACCTCTCCAGGCCCCAGGCTGGCCTGTGGCTTTAAGGGGCTGAATGAAACCTTAGCTGGCCGGCTTTGGTGAACTATTTCCTTGCTCTCTGCTCAGTGAGGCAAGGAGCTCTGGGGGGTCACCCAGGGGCCAAGGTTGGGGTGCACCCCTGTCAGGCCCGCCCACACAGCCCAGATGTGCATCTGTCACCTCCAATCACCCCAGGGCCACTCACGGTCACCCCTGCACTGGAAGAGCCTGGGTGGTGGGGTGGGGCAGATAAATACAACTGAGGAGGCCCAGGGGAGTCCCAGAGCAGGGGGCCAGGCTTGGGGGGGGGACTGTACCTGCCCCGCCCCAGCAGCCAGCGGCTCCAGGACAGATGCTAACTTGGGGGTCATTTTGCTCCTCTGGCCCAGGGGATTATTCTCAGGCCCGGAAACGACTTTAAGCTGCGGCACCTGCTGTTGCAATGAAGAGGAAAGTGGGGGTGGGCTTTTTTTCCGCCTGGGGGAGCAGAGCACGGTGACCCTGACATCCAGGCTGGGTGGCACTGGTGGACGGGCTGACGGGGTTATTAGAAGCCCCCCCACCCCGGGACGGGGAGAGAGCGGGGGGGGGAGAGCAGGGGGGACGGCGGTGCCCACGGTGGGGGGGGACACCGGCCTGGACACGAGGCGGGTCGGTGCGGGACGGGGTGAGAGGTCACGGGGTCAGGAGGGCGGGTTTGGGGGGATCACAGCGCCAGCCGTGGGGTGTCGCGGACAGGGGCCGGTCGGGGATGCGGGGGCCCCGCGTCTGGCGTGTGGGGTCGTTGGGTCCCCCGAGCGGGGTGCCGGGCCGAGGGGGCCCGGGGGCGGTGTCAGGCCTCGGGACGGGGTCGGCGGGCGCGGGGCGGGGGGCGCCAAACGCGGGGCCCCTGTGACCCCGCGCCCTGCTGTCACGCCCCGCCGCGCCGCCCCCGCCCTGGGGCCCCGCGTCAGGCCCCGCACCCTGCCTCGGCGCGGCCTGACAGGCGCAGCCCCCGGCGCCCGCGCCGCCCCGCGCCCCTCGCGTCCCGCTCACCTGCCCGGACGCGTCGCCGCCGCCGCCGCCGCCGCCTCCAGCCGCCACAGCCCCGCCTCGCGCGCCCCCCACCCCCGGCGCGCGCCAAGGGAGGGGCCCACGCCGCGCTCGGATTGGGCGTCCTCTGGCCAATCAGAAATAGAGACGGAACAAATTGGCGGGCCAGCGGAAGATGGGTGTGTGTGCTAGCCAATCGTTGACGAGGAAAGGCGGGGTTACCGGGAAAGGCTGCGGCTCTCCCCTGCGTTCCTGCGAGGTGCAAGGTCTTGGGAGGCAAGACCTGGAGGTTGGCGATGATTGGAGTTCTGGTGGAAAATGGACGTCCTTCTTAGCCAGACGCTGGTGAGCAGGGGCGGGGCTCCAGGGAAACTGAAGCAAGTGGCGGGGCTTCGGCTGGGGAGGGGGGCGAAACGGAGGGCGTAGCCTGAAGGGCATCAGTGATTGGCTGAAGCGCCTAAGACGGGCAGGCCGCTTGGCCAGTCATAGCAGCCGAGGGCGGTGCCTCCCAAGGCAGGGGGCCCAGGCGTGCAAGGTGCACCGGGCCAGTGCGGGCGCTCGGGGCGGCCCCGGCGGGCCGAGCCTGCCCTCCCTCCGGGAGCACGGCGCGGGAATGGGGCTTCCCACCCTGGCATGCACTTCGCCGCAGAACTGTTGACTAGCCTCCGCCCCCGCCTCCCCCGCCGTCCCCCTGCGGAGGACACGGGACGCGAACTCGCGTCTCCCCGCGCCACCTGGCGCCTTTGTCCCGACCTAACCCCAGTGCCTCGAGGCCCAGGGGGGGTCAGGACCCCTCGGTCAGCATAGGTCGCCTTCGTTGCGCAATCTGGACGGGTTTCTCTTTGGTGGAGGAGCGGTGACCTGTCCACGCCCTGGCCGCCGGCCTCGGGCTGGGCACCGGGAGCCTCAGTTTCCTCATTTAGAAAATAAGACATGGAGCCAATGGCTCACACCTTTCATCCCAGTTACCTAGGAGGCTGAGGTCAGGACTGAGGTTCGCAGCCAGCCTAGGCAGGAAAGTCCATTAGATGCTATTCCTTTTTTTGGTCAGTCATGGGGTTGGACCTCAGGACTTGGGCGCTGTCTCTGCTCTTTTGCTCCAGGCTAGCACTCCACTACCGTGAGCCACGGTGCCACTTCTAGTTTTCTGGTGGTTAATTGGAGACAACAATCTCACAATCTTTCCTACCCAGGCTGGCTTCAAACCATGACCCTCAGATCTCAGCCTCAGGAGTAGCTGGGATTACAGGCGTGAGCCACCAGCGCCCGGCTCCATCAGACTCTTTAATCTTCGATCAATCACCAAAAACCAGAAGCGGAGCTGTGGCTCAAGTGGTAGAGCGCTAACCCTTGAGCACAAAAGTTTAAGGATGGTGCCCAGGCCCTGAGTTCAACCCCAGGACTGACTGGCACAAAAAGAGTGAGAAAATAAAACAAGACAAGAAGCTGGGGGTGGGGCGGGGCTCCCTGCCCAATAGTATCATGAAGGAAGGAAGGAAGCTCAGAGAGACAATGGTCTCCTGCCAGGGTGCTGTTCCCAGGCCCATTCAGAGCTCTGACTCATCTGGGCGGACAACCTCACAAATGGGTCGTATTTCCTCTAGGTACAGGCTGGGGCAGGTGGAGATCAAGTTCAGAACCAGAGAATCCCAGGAGGGAGCAAGGCTGGGCTTAATTCATCCATCTCACTTTCCCAAAGAACCAGTGCTCTGTAAGGCTGTGGACCACCCCGGCTAGAAGGCTCGCTCCCCAAGGTCCAACTATGATCATACTGCAGATGCCCCCAGCTCTTGAAATTCTCTGTTCTGGGGTTCACTTCCCCACCACCCTCCTCCGTCCTGGAGGAAGATGCTGGGGTTGGCACACAGCACACCCTAATGGGTCTGGTTTTGGCTCCATCAAGCCACAACCTGAACACAGCCAACAGGCTCAGGTCTGCGGGGAGAGGTGGACCCCTTGGGGAAACCCTCTGTGCTGGGTTCAAATCCCTGCTCCTTTTTGGCAGTGCGGGGCCCGAATGCAGGCCCTTGTGCTGGGCCCATGCTGCACCCCAGCTTCCTGTTAGGTCCCTGCAGGACCGGTAGCAAGGAGCTCCAGCTCCTGCCTGTTTCCCAGTGGTGGTTAGGTCCCGTGGCGGCTGGTGAAGGCTCTGGGTGTGTGGGAATCCGCTGAGGCTGGACTCCCAGTGGAGGGGGAGAGAAGGCCTGGCTCACAGCATCCACCCGCCGGGCCTCAGAAAGGTGCAAACAGAGCTCGTAGGACTGGCGGTGCTCTTAGGGGACAGTGCCAACTGGGGCAGGGGTCAGGCAGCGGGCCAGCCCCGGTTGTCTCCATGGGTGGTGCCAGCGGCGTTGGCAGGGCTCTGGCTTTGGCCTGGTGTTCTTGGCAACACCTGGCCTCCTGTGTGTGCGGCCCGGGCCTGTGCCCGGTGGGTCCAGTGTGCCTGCCCAGCTCACCCCGGCAGGCACCACTGTGGTCCCCTTGTGTGGGGGTGACTTTTAATGTGGAAAGTGGGTTCCCAGAATTGGCATGGGGGGGTGGACGTGTCCCATTCCTGGGGTGATACCCTCCTCCGCACTGCAGGGGACTCTGAGGCAGTGGAGGCGGGGCCTGTACTGCCCAGCACTGACTTGGGCCCGGTCCACGGCTCCCCCAGCCCGCTGGCCCCGCACAGCCCGGCCATCTCCAGCCTGCCAAGGCCTCACATGGCCCGGCGGCCCTTACCCCGGCTGTTACACAAGACATTCCCAGGCCAGGGCAGGGAGGACTGATACAGAGAGCAGCCCCTCCCTCCTGAGAGCTGGGGACACTCTGCCACAGGGTGGGGCGCTTCCCCTTCCTTCAGGTGAACCTCAAGGCCACTAGGAGCCTAGGGGGCCCCAGGGGTCAGGCGCCGGCCCTGTGATGGCATAAGACAAGCAGCAGACGTCAGCTGACCTCGTATGGGGTCAGGACAGAGCACGTGACCCCCAGGCCCCGGTGGATCCAGTGGCTCATGGACTGGAGCAGGCCCTGGGGGATCCAGGCATTGGGCCCAGTAGGTGCAAAGGCCCTGGGGCGGGCAAAGCCCCAGCCATGCTGGCTCTGAGAGGCACTAAGTGCTCTTTGGTACGATGTACGTGGAGGGCACTGGGGCAGGAGCCACGAGTGGCCCAGGAGCCTCCATACCCCAAGTGACCCCGAGGCTGCCCAGGGCAGGTATGGAAACTGGTGAGGATCGGGCACTCAGGCCTCCCGGGGGAGGGGGAGGAACATGAGTGGCTGCAAGGAGAGACCCGGGGGCTGGGCAGGCAAGCCTGCTCCCACGCAAATCCTGCTGCCTGCCCACCGGCCTCCACGGGAGGCTGCCTGAGGACAGGGAGGCATGGGGAAGACCAGCACTGTTTCCTGGGAAACTGAAGCCCAGAGGGTCCACCCAGGCACCAAGAGCTGCGCGGCCAGCCTCCTGGCGCGGCCAGTCTCCTGGCATGGCCCGGCTTACAGGCGTGCTGCCCCCCCCTCCAGCCAGAGGCTGAGAGCTGAGGCTCAGCAGCTCAAGCGCCTGCTTGGTGCCACCAGGGGTTGGTGGGAGTGCAGATGTGGACCTGCCTGGGGCCCAAGCCGCTCCCAAAGCCCCCAGCCCCCACGGAGACACGCGAGCCCCTCCGACATCAGCGTGAGGTTCTTTATTCCCAGGGGCACCTCCATGTGGCCCCAGGCGGGGGACATGGTGGGCCACAGACCCCGGCCCCACCAAGTCTGGTGGGGGCGGCCTCGCAGCCTGCAGAGGTGAGGAAAGGGGCAGGAGGGGGGCCGGCTCGGCCAGCTGTGGGGACCCCGGGGCCGCTGGTCTCTCTGTACCGGGGATCCAGAAGGCCCCGCTGGCTGAGGGGCGCAGGTGGAGGGGGCAGGAGGGACAGGGCCCCCATCCCTGCCTCGGCCCCAAGTTTCATGATGCATCCAAGGTCAGGCAGAGGCTGAGTCTGGGTCACAGCACCAAGCTGCCCTTCTGGCCTGTCCACAGCTCCTGGAGCTCGACGCGGCAGCCCAGGTCACGCAGTGCGGCCTTGGCCACGTCCTCGCAGTCGGGGTGGGCGGCCCTGGCCTGTGCGATGAGTGCCTCAGCCCCCTGCTCCAGGAGGGGCTTGGAGAAGGCCGGGCTCCGGGACACCAGGTTGCGGATCAGCATGCAGGCCTGCTTCTGTCGGGGAGAGGGCTGTGAGCTGGCGGTGTGCGGGCGGGCATGGCCTCCCCTCTGACCTCCCTGTGATGGGAGTGAGAGTTGCAGCTGGGCTGGACTAGAACCGGCTCTCCCAGGAGATGGGGGCCCCAGAGGCAGGAAGGACTCCTGCTGTCTGACTGACTAGTCTCCTGAGGCCCGGGCTCAAAGGGATGGGCAGCCGGGCGCCCGTGGCTACTCAGGAGGCTGAGATCTGAGGATTGTGGTTCAAAGCCAGCCTGAGCAGGAGAGACCGTGAGACTCTGATCTCCAATGAACCACCAGAAAACTGGAAGTGGCGCTGTGGCTCAAGTGGTAGAGCACTTGTCTTGAGCTGAAGAGCTGAGGGACTGCGCGAAGGCCCAGAGTTCAGGACCCATGACCGGACCCCCTCCCCCCATCCCCCCCAAAAAAAAAGAAAGAAGAAAACTAAGTCCACAAAGGCTGGGGACGTGGCTCAGAAGTGCTGGATTCAAACTGCAGTGTTGTTCAAAGAACAGAAAAGTGGAAGTTGCTGGCCTGTCTCCACAGCCGGTGGGTGACTCAGAATACCAACAGGTGACGTCCAACCGGGCCGGAGGGAGGGCCGGGG